CCGAGACTCAGCTCCTGGCCCCGCCTCTTCACTGATCGCTACTAGGTCCTCTCCCTCTCTGCTTCCTGAGCTTTGTCATACCTCTTCTTAAAACTATGTATGGTTCCTGCCTCCACTACTTCACCTGCTAGGCTGTTCCGCTTCCTGACGACTCTATGACTGAAGAAATACTTCCTCACGTCCCTGTGACTCATCTGAGTCTTCAGCTTCCAGTTGTGACCCCTTATTTCTGTGTCCCCTCTCTGGAACATCCTATCTCTGTCCACCTTGTCTATTCCCCGCAGTATCTTGTATGTCGTTATCATGTCTCCCCTGACCCTTCTGTCCTCCAGTGTCGTCAGTCCGATTTCCCTCAACCTTTCCTCGTACGACATTCCCCTGAGCTCTGGGACTAGCCTTGTTGCAAACCTTTGTACTTTCTCTAACTTCTTGACGTGCTTGACCAGGTGTGGGTTTCAGACTGGTGCTGCATACTCCAGTATGGGCCTAACATACACAGTGTACCTGGTTCATGTCTCCCTCGCCTATCACCTTCATGATACCTTCAATCGCTTTTTTCTCCTCCTGCTTTCTTTCATCATAAGTTTCCCCTTCATCTTCGTCTAGCCCATAGACAAAAACTGATCTCTCCCTTTCCACCTCCCACTGTGACTCCCATTGCATCCTCTGAGGTATTTTAGTTCCTTCCCATGGAGTGTTCCTTCCTTCAGTCCCTTCCCTAGCTGTGGCCCCTATGCTCATTGGTTTGTCCTTCCTGCTCACCTGTTCCTGGCCCCCACAAGTGTCTGGTAAGGTCCTTGCACATGTCCTAGTTCCTTCAATGTCTTCCAACCTCTCATTCTGTTCTAGTGTGCTCCCTGTCTTTGTTTTGGCCCCATGTGAGTTTGACAGGACCTCTGCATACAGTTTAGCTTCCATGCTCCCTTCAGACCCTTTGTCTGTGTCTGATGTAAACATTGCTGATGCTACTCCTGTATGATCTTTGTCTCTAGGCTGTTTCATATTTCTCTGCTCCTCTTCTAATCTCGTGTGTGTGTGTGTGTGTGTGTGTGTGTGTGTGTGTGTGAGTGTGAGTGTGTGTGTGTGTGTGTGTGTGTGTGTGTGTGTGTGTGTGTGTGTGTGTGTGTGTGTGTGAGTGTGAGTGTGTGTGTGTGTGTGTGTGTGTGTGTGTGTGTGTGTGTGTGTGTGTGTGTGTGTGTGTGTGTGTGTGTTGTAAGATGAGTATTTTGTAGTAAGCTAAGTATTTATATCATTAAAAGTGATTTGGTCGGGTTAAGTTGGATGGGGTACAAATAAGACTGAAGGGGGAGTAAGAACTAATGAGCGTGTGGTAAAGTTTGGTATATAGGTGAATGTGTGAAGCATTGGTTTGTTAGCATGTTAAGTTCAGTTTGCTCCTAGTGAGTGTAGCATTGTTAGGTAAGACACATATGCAACAGTTAGGTATCTTTATTTCGAAACGTTTCGCCTACACAGTAGGCTTCTTCAGTCGAGTACAGAAAAGTTGATAGAAGCAGAAGATACTTGAAGACGATGTAATCAGTCCATCACCCTTAAAGTTTTGAGGTGGTCAGTCCCTCAGTCTGGAGAAGAGCATTGTTCCGTTGTCTGAAACAATGGAACAATGCTCTTCTCCAGACTGAGGGACTGACCACCTCAAAACTTTAAGGGTGATGGACTGATTACATCGTCTTCAAGTATCTTCTGCTTCTATCAACTTTTCTGTACTCGACTGAAGAAGCCTACTGTGTAGGCGAAACGTTTCGAAATAAAGATACCTAACTGTTGCATATGTGTCTTACCTAACAATCTGTCGGTATTTTATACCATTTTAATGTTCACGAGTGTAGCATTGCTGTGTTCGTATACTAGGTTCAAGGCAATCTGAGCGAGTGAAGCGTGACTTTGTTAGCAAGTTAAGTTTAGGCACTCATCTTTAGGATGTGCTGGGAGAAGAGAACTTAGAGGGTTTTGTAATAAACTGATAAGGTAGATATTTTTAGCTAGTGACAAGGGTGTTAACCATTGGGTGATGGTGAGTGTGGTTGTATGTGAAGGTGGTATATAGAGTGGAGTGTGTTTAGTGTGTGAGTCTGGGGTGTGTTTGTATGTGAGGATAGTATATAGAGTGGAGTGTGTTCAATGTGAGGAAGGGACTGGGGTGAAGTTATAAGTGAGGGTAGAGAATACAGACTAGTGTGTTGAGTGTGAGGAACTGGGGTGGGGTTATAATGTGAGGGTGTAGAGTGTAGAGTGCAGTGTGTTGAGTGTGAGGGACTGGGGTGGGGTTATATGTGAGGGTGTAGAGTGTAGAGTGCAGTGTGTTGAGTGTGAGGGACTGGGGTGGGGTTATATGTGAGGGTGTAGAGTGTAGAGTGCAGTGTGTTGAGTGTGAGGGACTGGGGAGAGATTATGCGTTTCTTGTAGCCAAAAATATTAATTCGGTAGTTATTTTGTTCTAATGTATATTTTTATCTCTAGTATTATATTATTCTTTTCTATATTTTCTGGCATATTATTCTGTCTTCATTGCTTTTATGCAAGCTTTGTTAATGAGTAATATTGCCAAGCTTTTCGCTTTATAAAACTATCTCTGATATTTCCTCCCATCTTAGAAACGGAATAAAATGTTGTTGGACTCCCAACCCAATTCCAATAAAATTCTTGAATTTGAGCTGTGTTTGCTCGCACACTCTCCAGACGAATGCTCTGTTGTTTTCTTCAGCCAAAAAGCAAAAAAATATAATATTTCTTTTCCATTTCATTTACTCAGACTTTATCTTATGTCTTCATTTATTTGTTTCTTATTGATGCATTTTCTGAATGATTTATTTCTGTATTTCAATTATCCCCACGATTACAGACTTATTTGACGTCTTCCTGCCTGCTATCATGCTGATCGTACTGATCAACAAATGAGCACATTAAATCATATAATGCTGTATGAGATGATATTTTTGAGAGCAATGTGTGGTGAGAATATTATTCAGAGCATTGAGAATCGAAGACATCGTATAATTTTTACGACTGACTAGGTGTTTTGAGGTGTTTCTGGCATTTGGAGAGGATAAAACAGAAGTGTTACTAAGAGAGTAAATAATTCTGAAGTGAAAGGAAGAACGGGTAGGGGACGTAACAAGAAACTTCAGAGGGAGTAGAAAACGAAGGTTTAGTGCTAGGGTCTTGAACATCAAACAGGCTTCTGAGAGTACTTTTGATTGGAGTGAATGGATACAGCTAGTTATAATTGCTTGACGTGCTCTGGAAATGTAAGGAAACTTTTATGAAAGGATTCAAGGAAACTGGTTACCCGGACTTGAGTATTGCAGGTGGGAGGTACAGTACCTCTACTCTCAAGTAGAGTTGAAACTGCTCCATTTCTGAGAATCACGAGTTATGTTCAACATGTGGCCTCTTCTTTTATGGGTCACCTTGCCTTGGTCGGAGAAGACAAATGTTAAAAAATTGAGAAAAACTGAAAAATATTTTGCCAATCATATTTACTCATATTTGCACACTTAGTTAATTTGGCTTAAAGTTATCGACTATTCCATGGATCATTCAAGCTGTTGGTCACCAGCTCAACACCAGTCAAGATTAATGTAATTAGATATCCGAGATGAAACTTTAAGCGGATTTCTGATTTTTTTTAGTTATCTTCGAGGCAGGACGTTTAAGTGTTCCCCGGAATTTTTTTCTATTCCTTCTTTTTCTCCCTCTCCACCTTTTCAGTTTGATTTCACTCAAAACTCGAGAATACTTCATACATTAGGCTTCAATGCTTCAATGCTTGTGCAAGGTATCAAGGGCCCGATTCTTGCATCCTACCAAGTTTTGTTGGCGTGAAGACAATTTATCCAAATAGTAATATAAATAGTGAAAAAATGGATTTATTGGTATCCAGATTAAAAATGAACTCGTCACGGCTCGTCTGATCGACTTCAATGTTTTTCACTTGTGTGCTTTCCTGAACGCAAGGTTCAAGCTGTTTTAGATTGGCATAAGTCCCAATTTGACTATTTCAATTAACTGAATCTGAAAGTAATTTATTTATAATAACTAAAGACTGTTTCTTTTGATCAACTTAAAAATGTTACAGACGATGCACTCTATAAGAAAAATTATACCTTATATTTTTATTCTGAGCTAATGCAAGGCTAAAATTTAAAAAAAAAAACCTGTACAAGACATGAAATCGTTGGAATGAGATGAATTACTAGATAATGTATTCACTTTCGCCATCAATGGGCTCTATCTAAGAAAAATTTATCATTAATTTTGAGCTCTGAACACTGCTGTGCATTAATAGGCCAATTCTAGGCAGGAGAAATTGCACATCTAGAGAATGTACAAAGAACCTTCGTCGTACATCTTAGTTCAGTCAATCACTTTAATTACTGGGAACGTTTGAAGTCCCTTGAACGTACTCCCTGGAACGCAGGCGAGAAAGATAAAGCATAATCTACATCTGGAAAATCCTAGAGGGACTGGTCCCAAATCTTCACACAGAAAACACAACCTATAAAAGCAAAAGACTCAGCAAATATATTCAATATACCCCCAGTGAAAAGCAGGGGTTCCATGAGTACACTATGAGAAAAGACAATAAGCCTCAGGGGCCCAAGTCTGTTCAACAGCCTCCCTTTATACAAGGGGGCTTAATTAACAATAGGCTTCTGGTTGTCTTCAAGAGGAAACTAGACAGATACCTAAAGTCGATGCACGACCACCTGGGATGTGGTACGTATACTGGTTTGCGTGTGGCCAGTAGTAACAGCTTGTTGATCAGGCCCTGATCCACCGAGTTGCCTGATCAAGGACTAGGTCATTGGGGTGTCGATCCCCGAAACAATCTGCAAACATAATGCTCTCATCCTACTGTTAGAGGAATCTGTTCTCAAACAAGTAACTCTAAACATCATAGAGATTAAGAACAGGAAGCTTAGGAAAAAAACATTATTCTGTTTAAAAATTTTTTGGAGTTTCTTTAACCCTGACAGTGGCCTCCGTACGTGAACCGCAAGGGTGTGGACCACATAACTGGAGTGATGAGCAGGGTTCTCACAGTACTTTCTGATCACCTCTCCTTCTGGTAAGATATTTTATCTATATTACTGTAATTCATATTATTAACGTGTGTGTGTGTGTGTGTGTGTGTGTGTGTGTGTGTGTGTGTGTGTGTGTGTGTGTGTGTGTGTGTGTGTGTGTGTGTGTGTGTGTGTGTGTGTGTATGTAAAATGCAGAGTTATATAATATTTTCATTTTTTTATGGAATTATCTGAAAATATAATTTTAAACACTCCCTTTTCCATTTTTTAAACACAACATTATATTAGAGCTACATTTTTTAACATTTCATATCTAATTAACATCTCCATACTATGGGCAGCTACCAGTTGGTGCCTATGGATAAAGGTGGATGGGGTATCAAGCTCCCTAATGGTACCTGGACAGGCATGATGGGCATGTGCTATCGAGGGGTGAGTCTCACCTCTTTCTTACTACACATTTATTAAGTATATGTATCATATTTCCTTACAAGAGTAAGGTAATGAAAATTTCTCATATGGAGCAGTGTCATGTAATGGAAACTATTTCTGGGGTAATCTAATGACGCTGGTGAGCTGTGTGATGAAGGTAAGTGTGAACATAAATAAACAGTTTTTTTTTAATTCATTTAACAAATTACATAGGAAATAATGAAATACAATGTAATTTATTTTCCAGTTTTAAACATAGTGCAAGTCACTTCGTGACTTTAAAACAAAATGAATATTAATTTTATTGAACAGTGACTTAGTCTGAAGATTTTACAATGAATTTTTTTCTCCGCTGATAAAAGGGTAAAGCCCAGTAATCTGATCTTGAGAATTTTTGGAAAAAGTTTTAATTCTTTTCAGAGCAGTTTACCTTCACTCTGTATGTACAGTCACTGTTGCAATCACCCTTAAATTCAGTTAGTTCTATAAAAATAAAAAATAATGTTTTCGAAATTAGACTTTAATTAACAGTATAGAAAAATGCACATATTCATATCCTTCTAAGGCTCGGAGGAGGTCAGAAGAGATGTGCTACATCAGATTTGTCTTCCAAGACGATGCAACTGTTTCTCCTTTTAGTGTTAGTAGCGATATCTGTCGATTTACATATCACTAAATCCCTGAGAAAAGCTCTGGAAGTTCCTTTCTCAATAAACAATATACGTGAGTGCACATGAATCCAAGCTGTACAGTAGTAGTAGTAGTAGTAATAGTAGTAGTAGTAAAAGTAGTGGAGGTAGTAGTAGTAGTACTGGTCGTAGTAGTAGCAGTAGTAGTAGTGGTCGTAGTAGTAGTAGGGAAGGCACAACTGGGAGTTTGCTTTGCTCATTACCAAAATAATTTCCTCTCAATGTTCGCAATAAATGATTTTTTATGGGAAATTTAAATTCAAAATGTGTTTTCACAGTATATTAGATGGAGCTAAATCCCATTCACATCATTATAGAAAAAAATATATTAACAATATTTATAATAATTATTATTATCTCACATTTGGAATCGGCATATCATTTTACCATGCAATCGAGTAGAAAAAGATTCTGGAAAATTTATGTTGCAAATCACAGAAACAGATTTTCAAACGGCAATTATTCATTTCTAAAATGAAATTCACTCATACGTGAACACCAAAAACAGATTGCAATGAAAATTAAATTGTATATTGGCTTAACAATAAAGTGAATTAAATTTAAATGGTAGAATTTTTGATTGGTAATCAATATTTACTTGCCTCATGTGAAAACACGCAAATGATGAGACTAAAGAAAATATATCTTATGATACCTGCGAAGAGAAGGACCAAGACTGGGAAGATAAGTGTGTACAGTGCTCGGAGAATTTGATAGGGTGAGCAAGGATATATATTGAAGAAGCGGGAAAAATAAATACGAAAACACTGTGTAAAGTAAAATGACACAGGTGCAACTAATGTGACATTTTTATAGTGGCAACGTTCCGCTCTCCAGGAGCTTTGTCATTAACGGCTTGACAAAGCAGTATATTATATTATTGTACCTACGGAACAAGTGGTATTGATCAATATCAACACTGCACTAGCTCAGAGGCGTCCACACCACCGTATGTCCTTCGATGGTGGGTACAACATCAAGCTTAGCTGGATACACCTTTGTTAAGGATTGTGTGGTCTAGTGGTCTAAAGCGTCATGCGTTTTCTCTCACCATGAGGCAGGCCAAAACAGCATGGGTTTGACTCTTTGGCTAGTGCAGTGTTGTTATGTATGTATATATATATATATATATATATATATATATATATATATATATATATATATATATATATATATATATATATATATATATATATATATATATATATATATATATATATATATATATATGTCGTGCCGAATAGGCAGAACTTGCGATCTTGGCTTAAATAGCAACGCTCATCTTGCCATATAGGACAAGCGAAAATTTGTGTATGCAATAATTTCGCCAAAATCATTCTGAACCTAACGAAAAAAATATATTTGATTGTGTTTGTTTAGTATTAAATTATTATAAACAAATGTAAAATATATTTAGTTGGGTTAGGCTAAAATAAATTGTTCTTGGTATAATAAGGTTAGGTAAGTTTTCTAAGTTCCTTTTGGTGCAAAATTATAAATTTTTACATTAACATTAATGAAAAAAATATATCTTTAAACGTATAAGAGAAAATTTTAGAAAGGACTTAATTTTAAATGAGTTCTTGCTAATTGACCAATTTTACATATTCGGCACGACATATATATATATATATATATATATATATATATATATATATATATATATATATATATGTATATATATATATATATATATATATATATATATATATATATATATATATATATATATGTATGTATATATATATACATATATATATATATATATATATATATATATATATATATATATATATATATATATATATATATATATATATATATATATATATATATATAATATCGTTGGTCTTATTTTTTTTCTTCTTACGGGCCAGTGACCTTAATTAATCTCCGTTCTTTACTATAACCTTACCCCATAACACACACAAAATTGTGTGGAATACAATTTCACAACTAAAATATCTTGGGTAAACAATTCAACTATGGAACTTTAACTTGATAACTGACATTTTCTAGGAGAACAGATTTTTGAGGTGAATCTCTGGATCGATGTTGGCTGGTCGTGTCGTCGTGGAATCCAAAAATTCCAATATATTCTTAGATATTTTATATAACATATTTCAAATGATAAGATTCTTCAAATTAAAATAGTTCTTCTCATATAAAAATGGCATATGACGACATTTTGTTCCGTGCTGGATTATTTCCAAGTCACAACTAAGTGGGAAAAAGAAGAAAGCCAGAAGACAAGTAGAGAGGAAGAAATGGGATGCATAAAATAATAATAGTGCTAGAATTAATAACAGTTGCAACAGAGGTAGTAATGTATCAACAGTGGTATTGGTAGTAACAGAAGAAGTAATGAGAAAATATGAGTAGCTGTGATAAAGCTAGGCAATATTATACAGTGAGTAAAAGTGATAGTAAAAAGTGTAATATTAATTAAAGAATTAGTAATCGTAAGACTAATAATACATGAAAACAAAAGAACAAAGGAACAATGCAAGAAACCATTAGACTAAAGATTTTTATTACTGTCCGTGCTTCTATCTGGCTTCGTTTTCCTGTCACATGGTTCTAGTCTCATCAAACTATTTTTGTAGTTCCTAAAAATCCTACTTTTCTTTCGAGATTAAACCTAAATGAATGTTTTGCCTACTACCTTCTTCCTTTGATATTTATGTCAATTACAATGTGACAGGCCAAGTGTTTTCCAGACACCGCAAACTTAGGTATGCTGGCATATACTTTCAATATTTTACTTCCTATGCCCAAACTTTTAGCATAATTATATTTATTTTCTCTTTTAAATGCCTCAAATATCTGTTATACTCAGTTACTGGACTTTATAACTCCCTCTATTACTACTGCTGTTACTACTACTACCATTCTTACTACTACTACTACTACTACTATTACATCGCTTCATTACAATCTCTGACTCTTGTGCCACTACCACTTCTCCCCCTACCCACTACAACTACTTGTACTACTACACTTCCACTACCTACACTACCTCACCTATTACTATCTCCACGTTCCCTTTTTTTTTTTACCTCTCCTTCTCCCGCCCCTGTTCTCTTTTCCTATATATATACTAGCTCTTTTTCCATCGTATGTTAATGTGTTGCTAGTTGATGGTCCAAGTCGGACTGAAACAAGTTTGTTTCTCATATATGCTGGTTATTTGTGCTTAACTTGTATTATTCGCAGTTCATTATTTCGTCATAGCTATACTCACATTTTCATAATTTATTTTTATTCTCATGCTTAATTAACGATTTGTTTTTCCTATCACGTAAATTTAGTTCTCCTACGAAAATATCTGTACTTTATCTTTCGTATATTTCTAATAACACACAACGATGTCTAGCCAAGTACTGTTAAGCTCCTTCACATTAATACACTTCCTGTTAATCTAGGTCAACCGTCCCCTCTCGATGATAGCTCTGATGTCTCTTACACTCACTACTTATCATGGCTTCTTCAGAACGTTGGCAAAACTGGTCACTCTCTGTCTGACATACTGAAGGAATGGGAGAGAAATCTTCGTCTTTGTGTCAGTAACAACACTCTTTCCTATCATGTTAAAGATAGTATCTATCTAATAACCTTGTCTTCTGCCAAAATTATGTATCCTCTCTCCATGCCTTAATAAAAGACCTGTCATTAAATAATTCTCAACATACAAAATTCTTTACAAATATTTTAATCACTGTTTTGTTTCTGCTGATGCTTTTCTTTCTGTATGCCTTGTCAAACGCACGAATCTTGACTTTAGTTTTATGATTATCTCTTCACCTATCTTTATCTCTCATCCTGCCATCTTATTGGTTGATTTATTGTGTCTGCCACGGAAGTGTGACTTTAATTCTTGAGGCCTTGTAACGTTATCACACAATAATGGCGTTATATACTGACAGTCACTATGTGTATCTCATGCACTGATACCTAACAAAAACAGATTGAATGGAAACATTTATACGAGTATTAAGTTGAAATGCACACTGAGCAAATGACTACATTACGACGAAAATCTGAAAACATAGTGTTTTACTGAAAGAGATTTTATATCCATTTAGGAGGTGGACGTAGTACTTGGTCCAGCTGGAATCAATGAAGACCGGATTGCAGATTTCGACTTGAGTATTCCACTGTTTTACGACCAACAGGTGATCGCCTATCAACGTCCCAAACTGGAACCTGAACTACTGGGCTTCATCAAGCCTTTCACTCCCATGGTGAGTTTGCTGGGGTACACAATCTATATAATTTAGCATTCTCTTAGACTGTTAAAAGCATTTATTTAATGTTAAGTAGAGATCGAGGTAATTCATTACCTTGAATTTTACCACGGTAAGCAAGGCAACAGGAGAAAAAACTGTCTAGTAATTTAAACATTTTTTATTTTGCAATGAAGAGTAGAACTAAACGATATAATAAAAAAATTCCATCGCCGGTGAGAAGAATTGAGAAAGTTTTACCAAAGTATGTAATTCTTGTTGAACTTATTCATTTAATAATGTTAAATTAAACTAGAACATTCCGTCATTTTTGATTCGCTGACTTTAAGAGATATACGAGTATGACGTAGTTATTACGTAACGTAAATATATTGGCGCCTAGGGGTAAAAGCCTTGTTTTGGTAAATTTTAAATATTAAAATACACTAACCTAGGTCAAGGTATTACGTAGAGCGCTGTAGAAAATATGTATAAAAAAAAGCACTCCATTAATTGTGAAAGTGAACAAAGACTGAACACAAAACAGACGCGTATTAGACCTGGTCGGAGTAGACAGGACAGGAGACGTAACTTTAAGCCATAGGTTATTTCATTTTATTTTATTCTCATGAGTTTACCTGTCGGGCCCTAGTATGTTGAGGGTCTGTTTCGGAGAGTGCAGGTGAAGAATTTTTGCCTGCAGAGGCCGGCAGAAGAGACGGGATATATATATATATATATATATATATATATATATATATATATATATATATATATATATATATATATATATATATATATATATATATATATATATATATATATATATATATATTATTTATTTATTTGTTTATTTATTTATTTAATTATATTTATTTTTGTTTATATTTAGGATGGGGTCCACCTCTGGTGTAAATAGTGGCACCCACAGCCTCGGAGAAGTGGATAAAAAGGCCTCAAAGAAGAATATATATGGATTTCTTCCCGAAGCCGTTTGAATATTCAACTTTCCCTACCACCCCATCTATTCATTTTTTTACCAATGGAATATTTTATTACATAATATGGTACAGAAGTTAAGAGATACATTGTTAATATAAAGGTGGCATATAAGGTACATGTTGTTACGTGTGTATCACCGATTATAAGGCGAAAATCTCATCCAGCTCCTCAGAGCTGGGGCGTGTGCCCAAAATACAGCAGGCATTACCCCTTTGAACAGCCGCACTGAGCCGCTGGAACAGAAAACTAGCTGCCCTGGGATCCCTAGTTACCCTGATGAGTCTTTTACCCAGCTCCTTAAGGAATTTCGATGTATTCTTTTCCCATGAGCCAAGGGTCTCTGAGCCTATGGAAACGAACATAGTGATGGCAAGTTCTCCATATTTTCTAGACTTTTGGGACTCCCTGAAGCTGGCAGCTGCCCCTCCTTCCTCCCTGGTGTATTGGTAGATGCACATGTATAGTCCCACACCACCTGCTTCCCGTCTGTCCAGGCCTGAAGGGTGATACCATCTGGACGCTTAAGGCTGCCATCAGATCTGCATTTCTCGGGTGGCTCCCTTACTGCTGGGCATCCAGCTGTTGTGAGGCTCCTCTTGATAATGTTATTAACCTCCTCATGTCTTGCAGTCTTTCCCTCGTATTTACGGCACACAAAACCATTGTAACCGAATCGGTCTGCTGCTTCACTGCCACAAATACACCTGTGTTCGGCGAGAATATGGGCGGCAAGTCGAAGGGCAACACCGATGCGGATGGTCTGTTGGCCGAGGCGTGTGCTAAGGTTGGAGTTGGGAACAGCCAACAGAGAGTCCCCTGGCTCTCACTGCCAGGAGGCGGGCTCTATCCTTCCCTGACACACTCTGAAGCATTGTTGAGGCTATATTTTCCACTATCGGACCATCCCAGTGCGATTGTTTGTAGTTGTTGGGGTGAGCAGGTCTGGTTTCAAAGCCCGTTAGATTATTCCAGATCATGGCTCCGTCAATGAACTTTTGGTCCTGGACTCCAATCTTGTCCCTAAGATGTTCAGGGAGAATCGTTGCTACAAGCCCTCTGGCCAAAGAGAAGCACTGATTCCTTGCTATACCCAGCTGAAACAAAAGGGAAGAAACCAGGGAAATGTTCTCGTACTGCTGCTAATACCACGTCTCTTTTTCAGGAGATTAAATGCTTTCTTGAAACCTAATTTTACCACTATATATATATATATATATATATATATATATATATATATATATATATATATATATATATATATATATATATATATATATATATATATATATATATATATATATATTGGAGGCAAAGAAGGGAATGTATGAAAGTATAGTAGTACCAACACTCTTATATGGATGTGAAGCTTGGGTGGTAAATGCAGCAGCGAGGAGACGGTTGGAGGCAGTGGAGATGTCCTGTCTAAGGGCAATGTGTGGTGTAAATATTATGCAGAAAATTCGGAGTGTGGAAATTAGGAGAAGGTGTGGAGTTAATAAAAGCATTAGTCAGGGGGCAGAAGAGGGGTTGTTGAGGTGGTTTGGTCATTTAGAGAGAATGGATCAAAGTAGAATGACATGGAAAGCATATAAATCTATGGGGGAAAGGGAAAGAGGGTAGGGGTCGTCCTCGAAAGGGTTGGAAAGAGGGGGTAAAGGAGGTTTTCTGGGTGAGGGGCTTGGACTTCCAGCAAGCGTGCGTGAGCGTGTTAGATAGGAGTGAATGGAGACGAATGATACTTGGGACCTGACGATCTGTTGGAGTGTGAGCAGGGTAATATTTAGTGAAGGGATTCAGGGAAACCGGTTATTTTCATATAGTCGGACTTGAGTCCTGGAAATGGGAAGTACAATGCCTGCACTTTAAAGGAGGGGTTTGGGATATGGCAGTTGGAGGGATATGTTGTGTATCTCTATACATATATGCTTCTAAACTGTTGTATTCTGAGCACCTCTGCAAAAGCAGTGAAAATTTGTGAGTGTGGTGAAAGTGTTGAATGATGATGAAAGTATTTTCTTTTTGGGGATTTTCTTTCTTTTTTTGGGTCACCTGCCTCGGTGGGAGACGGCCGACTTGTTGAAATATATATATATATATATATATATATATATATATATATATATATATATATATATATATATATATATATATATCGCTTCTAATGACCAGAGCTTTGGTAAGATGGGGAAGGAAGAAGGATGGGTAAGGATGGAAATATTGGAAGAGGGTTGGAGGGGGGGGGGAGAGGTAGGATATAAAAGGTAAGTGGCCCAACCACTTTGGTGTAATTTAAAAAGTGTATTTGAATTGATAAGATTATTTTTTAAGAGGTATAATACTAACCCATCAGAGTCACATAAATATAATAGGTATATAAGTACATGACTCTGAATTGGTTGTAATTATACAAGTTGCAATTGCTTTTTTTTTTTTTTTTTTTTTTTTTTTTTTTTTTTTTTTTTTCGCGATTGCACAACGGATATTCATACGACAGGAAAGGCAATATTTTCTGGCCAGTTTATGAGCTCGTGACAATAGCTTCTTAATGGTGGTGTCCAACAATAGTCAATAGCATAATTTACATTAGAAAGTTATTTAAAATGTCTCCCTAATTGGGGGCGATGGTTTTTTTCAGTATACATAGAAGGGTTCTGGTAGTATCCAATCTTCTTCGTCAGGTAAGTTGCTCAAAATCATGGGTCGAGGGTAATCATCTTTATGAATAAAACGACGAACCCTCTGTGGAGAGTCATTCTTTGAGTCCTGTGAGGTGGAGTATTGATGGTGTAATCGGTGGTATTTATCACTTGTATAGGATGTTCTCTATCTGGCATGTATAGTTCTTGCATTGTATAAAGTTGTTTCTTTTTAGGGTGTCAAGGCGTACATTTATGGCAGTGATATCTTGTTGTGTGTGTAAATCTGCCATTTTAACTCTGTATCTCCTCCTGGTATTGGTAATAAATCGAAGAGCTCTATTCTGGACCTTTGTAACCGTAGCATGTTGGTCTTTGTTGTTAATGATATTGGGACACAAGGGTATTCAAGTTTTAGGTCTTATTATCATTTATACAGATGTTTTTTGAACATGTTGAGGGGCTTGATTGAATCGAAAGAGTCTGCTAAGACCGGCTTTGGCTGTGTTGATCTTTTTAGTTACATGAGATGTTGAGTGGAGCAGCCTGTCTATTTCATATCCCAAGATCTTGTTAGGGTTTCTAATGGCTACAGGTGTACCTCTGATGGAGATACCCCCTTTATCTTCAATGGTTGATGCAAAACATCCTATCGTGCTAACAAGGACCTTGTCAGGATTAGTCGTAATTCTCCATTTCTTCTCCCAATTAGATGTTCGACGAAGTTCATATTCATTTTTTCTATGACTCTCTCATACTTGTATTTTCCTGTTACTGGAGTTGATGAGACGACATGAATAACATCATCTGCAAACTGTGTCACAATTGTGTCATTAAACTCTGGTTGAGGAAGGTCATTCACATAAATGTTAAACAGAAGTGGACTGAGACAAGAACCTTGTGGGACACCAGCCGTCGGTATAAAGGTTCTGTCGACTTGCCATGAAAGGTGGGAATGATTTTTCTTTGAGTTAAGAAATTATAAATTACTCTGAGAAAAGTCCAGTTATGGTCTGGTAGGTCAATGAGTTTGTATATAAGGCCATCATGCCATAAGCTATCAAAAGCTTTATGAACATCTCTGGTGGCAATTAAGGCAAGATTGCCCTGCTGTTTTAGACTTGCTACAGTGTCAAAAATAACATTTATTGCATGATTGGTACCTCTATGTGTTCTAAAACCAAATTGTTTTTCAGTAAACAAGTGATTAAACTCCATATAGTAATTCAATCTGTTGGAAATGACTTTCTCAAAACTTTTCCAGTGACTTCAAGTAAAGATATAGGTCTATAGTTCCCAGGTTGGTGGATGTCTTTATTGGGCTTAGCAAGAAAGATCATTCTAGCAGTCTTAAAAACAACTGGAAAATGTCCTGAGGCC